TCCCCAACAGATTTTACAGTGATAGCAAATCAGAATCTGAGAACCTTGAAAATTTTGAGAAAAACGGATTAGAAAATCTAGGATTCCAGCCTGGCAGTTGATTTCAGAATCTGAAGACTTCAGAAATTCAGAATTTCAGAATCTGCAAATTTGAGAATATTGAGGTCGTAGGATCTTAGGATCTTAAGGTCTCAAAATCTTGGAGTTTTCCATACCTCAGAATTTTAGAATTTCAAAATTTAAAATTTCCAAATTTTCGAGTTTTCGAATCTCAAAACCTTGGAATCTTAGAATCTCGAGAACTCAGAATCTATAAATATGAAATCTGAAATACTAGGGATCTGAAAATCCGAAAATCTTCGAGTTTTAAACTTTTCTATAATTTCAGCCACTCGGTGTGTTCTTCGAGACCGGATGTGACTGCCATTTGGCCATCTGCATTTTGCTCACGATTCTCGGATACATTCCAGGAATCATCTACGCTTGCTATGTGATCTTGGACCATTAAGTTCTGGGTTATTAATTTTATTTGTAAATTGCAATAAATTGTACTCTTCTTATCTTTTACAATTCAAAAAAATAATCCCTCACCATCAAGAAAATCGTCCTACAGAAAAAAAAATCAAAAAGTCTCATGATTCATTTTTTTCCTGGGTGATTCATCCCCTCGAGACGTAAACGTGCACAATCATAAAAGAGACCAACAAGACTGTAAATAAGAAGAAAAGAAAATGATGTCATGGTGACCCAGAAATAATTGATTTATTATCAATTAGATAGTTATCTAGGCGAACAAGAAGAAAAAAGTGATAAGAGTTCTTGGAGAACTATTCTAGAAAATTTCGAGATTCTGAAAATTGGAAACGATTTTTTTGAAAATGTGAAGAAGGGTAAGAAAATTCGAAAAAATTCGGATGTTCGCAAATTATTTCAGGAATTGAAAAAGTGTTTTTTTATTATTGGAAAGTGGAGCAATTTCATTGAAAGTTTCAGATTGAAAAATGGAAGAAAAATGACAGAAGATTAATTTTTTGGGGCATTTTTGAGGGTTTTACAAATATGAAAGTACAAAATATTTAGAGAAACTATTCGAAAAGGTATTGAAGAGCTTCTGGAAAATTACAATGAAAATTTGAAAATCAAATAGCTGGGAAAGAATTATTTGAATTGTCTTCACAAAACAATTCTGGGAAATAAACAAATTTTCTGATTTTCTCAGTTTTTGATTTTCTGAATTCTCGAATTTTATAATTTTCAAATTTTCAAATCTGTAAGTTTTAGAATTCTAGGATTTTAGAGTTCAGTATTTCAGAATTTTACAATTTTAGTATTTCAGAATTTTACAATTTTAGAATTTCAGAATTTAAGAATTTTTTGTATTTTTTATGTTCTGAGTTTTTGCTGGGCAGTTTTTCAGAATTTTCAATGCTTTAATTAAGTCTGAAACAGTTAAGAGCTCTATTCAAAAAATGAAGATTTCAGAAAACTTATTTCAGATTTACAAAAAGATAAAACAGAATCCAAAAAACCTTCACCAAAAATCAGTTATCAAAAAAATCCACCCACAAAAAATCCAAAAAAAAATCAAAAAATGATGATAATCCATTTCACCCACCACCGCAGGACGCGCCCTGTCCCCGTCCCCTGAAACGGTTCGTCCCGCGGAAGCGGGCGTCCCGATTTCGAACGCTATGAACACCTGAAATCTTTGATTCTCATATTCCCATTTTCCTGAATTTCGGGCTTTTGAAATAGTAAATTTCGAGATCTTCAAAAAAAAAACTTATAAAGTTTGGGATTTTAAATAAAAAATTTGATTTTAAAAAACCTTCAAAACAATTCACTCACTGGAAAAATGACAGCGCAGATGAATTTTGGAATGTCAGTACAAGTGAGAGCCATGTTGATGAGACGAAGTAGAAGTCAAGAGGTTTCTGAAATGTTTTTTTGAAATTTTGACTAGTCAAAACTTTGTGAGTGAAAGTTGACGGGAAGGAAAAATCAAACAGATTCATGGAAAACTCCATGGAAATGCATACTATTAGTAAGCACAATTTTCGTATTTTCTTTTCATATTTTGTGCTCTCTATAAAATACACAAACGTTCCGACTGATAAAGTTTATAGGTTTTTGGAAGTAAATTATTTTGATTGGAGCTCAACGAAACAAAAACTTCAAATTTTAATTTAAAGAATCAAAAACAAAAAAATAAAAAATAGTACAGAATGAAGAAGAAGAAGTAAAAGAGAACAAAGTCAATAAAATGGCAGTGAGAGGGGAAAAAAGGAGGTGCGCCGACCAACAACATGTGCTAGTGTAAATAAAATGCACAGTTTGATAACGTGATGCCAAAAGGAAAAGGAGGGGTTGAGAAGGTATTAGGGGCTGGGAGTTTCAATTTTTTGAAGGAGTTCAGATTTTGAAATATTTTGAATCATAGTTGGGATGATTCAGAGTTTTGAACGAGAGGAGACTGGAAGATTCATCTGAAAACAGGAGGAAAATGTAATGAAATCATTTTTTTTTTCAAATTCCTTCATATACGATTTTCTAATTATTCGTTTTTGATATCTCCTGCAGAAACTGAAATAAACTATATTAAAACTGACAGGCAGTGGGGCTTTTCTATTAGAGGTTCCACAGTATCTTTTCCTCAGAAAGAGAATACCCTTTTTTTGTGATACAAAAACGTAATAAACCAAAAACAAAATCAAAGTAATGCAATTTTTTAGTATAGAGCAGTACAAATACTAAATATGAATTATTAATGGTAATATTATAACCTGACAGATTATTACTAGTATGATGAACTCGATGTTCAGTAAATCATCGAGTTGAATATCGATTAAAAATTCGAGGGGCTGAAATTTTGTCTCAAAATGTAAAATTTCGAATCTGAATTTTAAAAAACTCAGACCCCAACCCACTAACTTAAAAGAGACATAAGCTTCGATAAATGTCAGACTTTCTTCAGAACATTCGGTAACATTTGGAGACTGTGAAACTGTAGAGTCTAAGTTATTAGTTCATTTTGAATATATGGTAGTCTGGAAAAAAAAAGAGTCCGAATTTTTCAAATCCAACCACAGTACGTTAGTTTGAAAATGAACTCGTTTATGATCGAGTTCTAGCTTCATTTTATTGCTACAAAAGTTGTCAGACCATTGTTTTTCTTCGGCATCACATGTTTCGTCTAAACAGCTTTTCTGATTAATTGCAGGGAAAAAATCACTTGAAAAACAGATTCATTTTACAGTACCGGTCAAAAAAAAAATCAAAGTTTCATTTATTCAGTAGTCAACTTCGAAATCCTAAAAACGGGGTCAGTTGATTATCAGATAGTTTCAGAGTGCACTAAAAACGGAGCTTCATTTTCGTAATTGAAACCTACGAAAAAAATCTAACCAACGAGGTATGAAGTTTTATAGAGATAGAACACAAACTTCGGTGCTACTTTCGGCAATTGTTTGATTACAAAAGGTATATCTCATCAGAATGAAATTCAACGAAATAGTTGTCAGATACGAAAATTGAAATCTGATTTTGTATAATTTACTCTGGAATTTTCAGAAAAATCAAAACATTTCGGAATACGACGATTTTCAACTGAAGAGTCACAGTCACAGTTTTTCATGACCATATCTCGCGAAACAGGCGTTTTGTGGAAGAAAACCGATTATTAGGCCGCGTCAAAAGTATATGCCCACCCAAAAAAAAGGGGGGATTATTGAAAATGCTGGGGTCATTTCATGTTTTTCGATTCTGAAACTTTCTCAAAAGCTTTTTGCTGATATGTCATTGGAGAAGATTAGATAGCAAAAGAAGAAAACTAAATGTTCCAGAATTTTCAGACGAAATTCCAAAAATTAGCTTATTCCATTCCAGCACGATTTTCCGTGTTCTAAGATTTCAAAAGGCTATCAATCTCACTTGAATAGTCACATTAAGCTCATTTAACATATTTAGAGCAAGGAAAACACGATTGTATGAGTCCGCCACCAGGATCGTCTCAACGCAAACAGGCCTGAAGAATCAGACGCACCCCTGGTTGCGTTGGGAATAACCTGAAAAACTCGGTTGAATGCGAAACCGGGGATAGACAACGATTTTTAGGTAGATGTAGCTCAGCCGGTAGCGGCGCTGTACCCCTGAGCTGCCTGTCATGAGTTCAACCCCTTATGTCGCGTTCAAAGTATTCTCCAGGAACTGGAAATTGCGTCCAAAGCTGTCAATTTTTCCATGTTTTCCATGGACTCAAAACTTCGATTTCCCTCGTTGTAGCTGTGTTTTTTCTTCAACA